GCTCCACTCCTCTCATCTCTCTCATCTTCTGCCCTTCTCTTTGCATATCTTACTAAAGGAAACACTTTGCCATCTACCGTTCTGGTCATTTCTTAAACCATCACCTATTTTGTCTCCTGTTGGTGTTTTGTTCAGAGGAAGGAAATACTTATTCAGTGTACAACATCTATAGCTGCATACGGTTATACGTGTTTCGATTTTTCAAATTAATCCATAATTGATAATAGTTTATTCTACTCATGGTACATGCAAAGGCATGAATTACTACATGCACAAAGGTGAGACAGTGTTTTTATTTTAGATACATCCATCGATGAGGGATGAATTGCAGTTGTTATTGGTGACACTTTGTTTGGACAGTCCATCTGTAGATGCTCTACAGACTATCGACAGACTACCGACAGACTATCGACAGACTATCGACAGACTATCAGTAACATTTCCGCAAACTATCCACTAACCTTAACCCTAACCTTAACCTTAACCCTAACCTTACTAACCCTAACCCTAACTGTAACTGTAAACGCAGCAGATATTCTACACCAATCTGATTCTATATGTGGACTTTTCTTTCTAATGCACCACTTCTCAGTTATTTTTATTTTAACTTTTATTTATTCAGGGGAGTCCAATTGTCTCATTCACAATGTTTCCCTGAGTACAAACATTTTCACAATCAAGAAACACCTGGCGCGAACATCCCTGCCGGCCAAACCCTCCCCTACCCTGGACGACGATGGGCCAATTGTGCGCCGCCCCATGGGTCTCCCGGTCACGGCCTGGACTCGAACCAGGATCTCTAGTGGCACAGCTAGCACTCGGGAGGCCCCTACAATTACAATGCTAAAATTACAATACTCCAATTACAATAGATGAATCATCACAATAAATCGAACTGCAATCTTCAATTAATTAATTTAACACCAGAGTCCTTAACTGCCCTAGTGGCATCAGGGAATCAAAATGCAAGGACACTCAAGTGTTGCTTTAGCAGTATGCTTATGGTCACTTTCCTGCTGGAAGGTGAACCTCCGTCCCAGTCTCAAATCTCTGGAAGACTGAAACAGATTTCCCTCAAGAATTTCCCTGTATTTAGGGCCATCCATCATTCCTTCAATTCTGACCAGTTTCCCAGTCCCTGCCGATGAAAAATATCCCCACAGCATGATGCTGCCACCACCATGCTTCACTGTAGGGATGGTGTTCTCAGTCTCATCTGACCAGAGTACCTTCTTCCATTAGTTTGGTGAGTCCCCCACATAGCTTTTGGCGAACACCAAACGTGTTTGCTTATTTTTTTCTTTAAGCAATGGCTTTTTTCTGGCCACTCTTCCGTAAAGCCCAGCTCTGTGGAGTGTACGGCTTAAAGTGGTCCTATGGACAGATGCTCCAATCTCCGCTGTGGAGCTTTGCAGCTCCTTCAGGGTTATCGTTGGTCTCTTTGTTGCCTCTCTGATTAATGCCCTCCTTGCCTGGTCCATGAGTATTGGTTGGCGGCCCTCTCTTGGCAGGTTTGTTGTGGTGCCATATTCTTTCCATTTTTTAATAATGGATTTAATGGTGCTCCGTGGGATGTTCAAAGTGTTGGATTTTTTTTAAATAACCCAACCTTGATCTGTACTTCTCCACAACTTTGTCCCTGACCTGTTTGGAGAGCTCCTTGGTCTTCATGGTGCCGCTTGCTTGGTGGTGCCCCTTGCTTAGTGGTGTTGCAGACTCTGGGACCTTTCAGAACAGGTGTATATATACTGAGATCACGTGACAGATCATGTGACACTTAGATTGCACACATTATATGACTTCTGAAGGTAATTGGTTGCACCAGATCTTATTTAGGGGCTTCATAGCAAAGGGGGTGAATACATATGCACGCACCACTTTTCCGTTATTTATTTTTTAGATATTTTTGAAACATTTTTTTTTGAAAGAATTTCACTTCACCAATTTGGACTGTTTTGTGTATGTCCATAACATGAAATCCAAATAAAAATCGATTTAAATTACAGGTTGTAATGCAACAAAATAGGAAAAACGCCAAGGGGGATAAATACTTTTGCAAGGCACTGTATCTGTAAGGGCCCCCAGTCGAGCAGTTCATTTCAAACAGATTCAATCACAAAGACCAGGGAATTTTTCAATTCCTCGCAAAGAAGGGCACCTATTGGAAGATTAGTTAAAATAAAAAAGCAGAGATTGACTATCCCTTTATTAAGTACACTTCGGATGGTGTATCAATACATCCAGTCACTACAAAGATACAGGCGTCCTTCCTAACTCAGTTGCCGGAGAGAAAGGATACTGCTCAGGGATTTCACCATGAGGCCAATGGTGACTTTAAAACAGTTACAGAATTTAATGGCTGTGATAAGAGAAACCTGAGGATTGATCAACAACATTGTAGTTATTCCACAATACTAACCTAAATGACAGAGTGAAAAGAAAGAAGCCTCTTTCTGTAGAGGCTTCCTTCTTTTCACTCTGTCATTTAGGTTAGTATTGTGGAGTAACTACAAAAATATTCCAAAACATGCATCATGTTTGCAATAAGGCACTAAAGTAAAACTGCAAAAAATGTGGCTAAATAATGAACTTTATGTCCTGATTATAAAGTGTTATGTTTGGGGCAAATCCAATACAACACATTACTTAGTATCACTCTTCATATTTTCAAGCATGATGGTGGCTGCATCATGTTATGAGTATGCTTGTCATCGGCAAGGAGTTGTTTAGGATAAAAAATTTACTGAATATAGCTGAGCACAGGCAAAAGAAGTAAACATGGTTCAGTCTGCTTTCCAACAGAGACTGGGAGACAAATTCACCTTTCAGCAGGACCATAACCTAAAACACAAGGCCAAATATACACTGGAGTTACTTACCAAGACGACGTTGAATGTTGCTGAGTAGCCTAGTTACAGTTTTGGCTTAAATTAGCTTGAAAATCTATGGCAAGACTTGAAAATGGTTGTCTAGCGATGATGAACAACCAACTTGAGACAGCTTATAGAATTTATTGAAGAATAATGTGCAAATATTGTACAATCCAGGTGTGCAAAAGCTGTTAGAGACTCACAGCTGCAATCGCTGCCAAAGTTGATTCTAACATGTATTGTCTCATGGCTGTGAACACTTATGTAAATTAGATATTTCTGTATTTCATTTTCAATAAATTTGAAACATTTCTTAACACGTTTTCACTTTGTCATGTTGTGTGTAGATGGGTGAGAAACAACATAATTGTAATCCATTTTGAATTCAGGCTGTAACACATCAACGTGTGGATTAAGTCAAAGGGTATGAAAACCTTCTTAAGGCACTGTATGTGAGTCTGTTAGTGTGTCATTCTCTACAATCTGTTCTGAGTTGTCTAAAGGACTCACTCCAGTGGAATGAGATTAATTTTCTGAGTCTATCCTTTGAAACAGAATGATTATTAAAAGCACCGCAAATGTCAATTTTGTCTAGTATGGGACCCGAGGCTGTCAAATGCTGATGTGGCAACGAGGGGATGGTGTTTTGTTTAAAATATTTGACCACTTTACAGAAGTTTGGCTGGATGCCCACCACTCTCCGATACATAATTCAATAAATATGTTGATTTTTGCATTTCTAACCAGAGATAATAGTTATAATTTGTCTGAAGGACTGCCATTCAGACGTAGAATCAGTCAGTCTAGCTACATTTATTTTCTGTAATTTCTCAGACAATTCATGCGTTAAACGAAAGTTTAGATCTGTCTTTTAACCTTAACCTTTTGTATGGCGCATGTTTATCACCAACACAGTTAAACAGAGAAATACAACAATTAAGGGTCTGATCCAAGTCAGTGATAGTTGACACAACCCACCAGTCACTCAACCCCAGCTCAGACAAAACATTTTGCTCATTAAAATTCCAGAAATGTATATTTTTAATATTGCGTGAGCAAGATTTAGGTATCTCAACATCTCTCGTGCAGGCAATGGCACAATGGTCACTGAACTCATTAGCGAGTATCCCATTGGCTGTAAACCTATGAGGGGTGTTTTGCTATAATAGTATCTAAACAGTAGATTGTTCAGGGTGTTTAAAAATTTGGGCGAGTTTGTTTCGTTATCAACGAAGTTAAATTTAGCTCAGTACAAATATATTTTCAGGCTATCAGAAACTGGCATCAACCTATCCTGATTAAGATCACCCATTATTAACAATTTGGATTTTAGCATAGTTAGATAGCAGGTCAGACAATTTACTTAGAGCAAATAAGGAGGGAGGGCAAAATAAAATCCCATTAGCGTCAAATATTACCAAGTCCCCCATTAGGACTATGTCAGTATGCTCTGCCTCCTTGACTACAATGAACACGTCTTTCTTTTACTTTCCACCTCTGGATCCGATTCTAAAACAGAAGAGTCTGACATGCTTGTACTCGGGTCAGAAACAGTCGGTCGAGAGGCCAACCGCGATGTGAGACAAGCTTTTGCGCGGTGACAGCCAGGTGTTGAGGAAAAAACTAGTTCCACGGATCAGGCAGAGCTCCTTATCCAGTTTATATGAGTTTATTCAAGCGATTGCGATGGGGAAGTTTCCCACTCTCAAGATGAAACCCCCGGGGAGAGTAACTTAAAGATTTACAAATCACACAGTCTTTATATATTTAATCTACACAAAGAGCAAGAACAGGTTCTAATCAGTTCTACGATAGTGGCGTGATAAGATCTTTAGAGCCTAAACAGATAGAACAAGAATTCAGCCTGGCTGGGCTTTTAGTGCCCTAAAGATAAGGAGACAGTAATAAATCAATTCTTTGTGTGGTGTGTAAAGAGGTTACAGGACAGCTGTGGAAAATTACCAGTGAATAGTCCTATTCAACTCAAGCATTTACATAGCATTAGACTGTAACAAAACCATTTTGCCCCCAACACAGGTAACCTAGCTAGTCGGAGTTAGCCGGAGATAGCCTGCTAATGTTAGCTCCAGGACATGGTAAAATCCAGCCGTGTTAACAGCAATAACACCGAAGTAAAACACTTAAAACAACGTTTTTAAAGGTATAACATCTATGTGTCTTAGATATATAAAACATATAGCTAAATGTTTTTAAAAAAAAGAAGAAAACACTGAAACGCCTCAGTTATTTTTGATTATTTGGCCTTTTCGGAAGTCTTAAATTCACTTTAGGTTACGAGATGGACAATGCAATCATAATATACTAAGTCTACATCCATGTCCCTAACACTCCTAACTGCACAGAATAACATAATGATCATATACAAAATAATACATGGGTAAACTGGTAATTAGATAAAGAACTGTGCAAACCAAATGTTCTCTCTGATCTGTATAATCAGTATGTTAATCTATATTTTGTGCCACAAACATCTAGTCATGTTTCACATATTCTACTGTATAATGTGTTGGCTTCAATTATGGTTGCACGCAGCCCCTCACAGCATGATGTTCCATCCCAGGAATATAGTCATGACAACAACAAACAGAATTGTGTGTATGTGCCGACTGGATAGGCTGAGTCAGAACAGGCTGTGGAACTGGAGCTATGCTGGAGGCTCCAGTACTATTTAACCATGCAGCTTATTTAGCATCACAGCAATATGCTGCATTGCTTTTTTTATCCCCTCCGGGACACCGTACTTTATAGGTTTTGTGTTATCCGGTGTAGGCCTGCTTCATTTTATCACTGTTTCCGGATGTGAGTCTCCATGCTCTTAAAAATGCTGCTACTGGTTAGAGGGTGATATAACGCTGCATGCCCTCAACGTTAAAAGTCTGTCAAATAAATCTTGTTGGGTGATAGCTAGCATGCTGCTGTCAAAAGGGGGAAGCTGTAAAATACATGCTGTTGTACATTTTCCCAGGCGTCCGAGGAAGCCTCCGGCTTTAGCAGGTGTCTCTGCTCAATGCTTTTGGGTGATCTCTGTTACAACTTGTGAGAATAAGGGTCTAATTTTAACTCAACACGTGGCAGCTGTGCTTTTAAACACACCACTGGAATGTTTTATATGACTTTATATATTATTATACACAGTCTCTATTGTTTCTCTTTATACCTCTAAACCCAGTTTACGTCAAGCTCTATCGTGTCTATCGAAGTTTCTGTGAACCATGTTTGACGATGATGAATAATCTCACCTCGAGCCCTGAAGACTTGTGTTAGCTCCCTGAGCTAATGTGGCCAGGACCCAGGTCATATTTACATTGACGTGGGAGATATAAAAATACCCTGGTTTTAAAGTCACAGTCACCAAACAGAGATGATTTACATCCCAGCTAAAAACTCTGGTGGTTTTGTGTGACAGGAATATGGACCACATTATTCTGCCCTGTTCAACATAGCTATGGACCGTTTCATACAGTACTGTAGCCTACAGTAGATATTTTAATATGGACTTGACAGTATAGATTGTAACAGACGCCAAGATGTGTGAATGAATGACTGTTTGCAAAAGCCTTTGTGATGTATAGGCCACCTATATTTGTTTTTCAAAATGTCTATGGGATTTCATATTGTACAACATTGTAATAGCCTGCAGTCTGTGCTCGGGATCTTGCCTTTTGCAGTGTACCTCAGTTCAGATCAATGTGTATGGGGAGGTTTTGATAATTGCAATTGAGGTGAATTCGATGTTTGTAGGTTTAATGTTTATTATTTTAGTGCATATTTTATTTATTTTCTACAGATTTTGATTTTCGTTTTCACAGATGTAATGTTTGTCCCAGTTTTTAGTAGATAACGTTCTTCCAGGTGCTTCTCCCAGTTTGAGGAAGCTCATTTTTCCACCCTCTTTCCGTTTCAGGTGGGATCTGCATCGCTCAGTCCTTAAAGATCCCTCACAATCACAAGCAGGAGAACTTCGACAAGATCATCAGGTTGCTTCTGGACACTCGTTACGCCCGGGCAGTCGTCCTCTTCGCCTCAGATGAGGACATAAGGTATGTATCTACTAGTTGTTAGCCCTTTTAGCTAAAGTCTAGGAATTGCTGTGTGCTGGCACTCAAATCAAGATTTAAAATATTGTCTGGGCAGCTCAGTCCTAGGAATATAAAACTGAAAAGCTGACGGCAACTTAATTCCCTTCAATAATGTTTTATTGAATGCTGACGCATTTTGGAGCAGGCGCCATTATCACAGCATTATGTATCTTCTGTTTAATATCTCGTACTGTGTGACAACGATTAAGAGGCTAATGATTTATCCCCGTGTATGCAGAAAGGAAGACTCCACACACAGCGATCTACAGCATAGTCCCCTGTAGCTCAGTTGGTAGAGCATGGCGCTTGCAACACCAGGGTTGTGTGTTCGTTTCCCGCGGGGGGCCAGTATGAAAATGTATGCACTCACTAACTGTAAGTCGCTCTGGATAAGAGCGTCTGCTAAATGACTAAAAATGTAAAATAATTCCATGTGGTTTAATGAAACAACGTATATAACCTTTAGGTCTTCATCAAAGGGTTGAATCATTGTTTGAATAAAACCACATCTGAGCCTAGATGAAGAGATCACAGTCTGTACAATTCTCTTTTACTTTCTGCTGAACACATTTTCTGAGCCTCAGCACCTGCTTTAAAACACTGAATGTGCGTACAGTATGTAAACCTCCCATTGTAGGGAGAACAACAGCACTTTTTACAGCTGTAGATATTGAGATATCAGTCTTGTCACAGTACTTGTGGTATTGGATTTCTGTTGTTCGCAAGACCACAATTCAATTTGTGGTTGAGTAATTGATCTGTAGTTCCACATCAAACCGGATACAACTCAGCATCCTGTTGATTTATCTGTCAAGACAATATACAAAAACAGAGGAAACATCGCTTCACGCTATCTCTCTGTTCAGAGGAAATAGAACGGAATACAGAACAGAACAGAACTACCCTACACCTTGACCTCTTTCTCCCCTCTCTCTCCAGATGACATCCTGTGACTAGTGAGGTCTGGCCGCCCGACAACCTGCCTGCTCGACCCCATCCCCTCCTCCCTTCTCCAGACCATCTCTGGAGACCTTCTCCCATTCCTCACTTCCCTCATCAACTCATCCCTGACCACTGGCTGCATCCCCTCTGACTTCAAAATTGCCCGAGTCGCTCCCATCCACAAGAAACCAACACTCAACTCCTCTGACGTCAAAAACTATGGACCAGTATCCCTTCTTTCTTTTCTTTCCAAAACACTTGAGTGTTCTGTCTCTGATCAACTCTCTCACTATCTCTCTCAGAACAATCTTCTTGACCCCAAGTTATCCCATGTCACCACTCTCCCATGCACATTCCACTGGCTTCCAGTCGAAGATCGCATCCACTACAAGACCATGGTGCTTATCTACGGAGCAGCAAGAGGAACTGCCCCTCCCTACCTTCAGGCTATGCTCAAACCCTACACCCCAACCCAAGCACTCCGTTTTGCCACCTACGGGAGGGCAGCTATCGCTCAGCCCAGTCTAAACTTTTCTCTGTCCTGGCACCCCAATGGTGGAACAAGCCTTCCCCTTAAGCTAGGACAGCACCTGAAACCGTACCTCTTCAAAGAGTATCTTACATTTTATTTTTATTTTATTTAACTAGGCAGGTCAGTTAAGAACAAATTCTTATTTACAATGACGGCCTACACCGGCCAAACCCGGACCAATTGTGCGCCGCCCTACAGGACTCCCAATCACGGGCCGGTTGTGATCCAGCCTGGAATCGAACTAGGGGGTCTGTAGTGACGCCTCAAGCACTGAGATGTAGTGCCTTAGACCGCTGCGCCACTCGGGAGCCCAAATAATCCCCCTCCTCACCTCGACCAAAAATACACATTTAATTTGCAAGATGGACCATGACGTACTGTTCTATTCTATGCTATCCATTCACTCTATCTGTGTGTCTGATTGCAGGGGTATCCTGAACGCCAGTAAGAGGGCGGACCAGGTGGGTCATTTCCTGTGGGTCGGCTCAGACAGCTGGGGAGCCAAGAACAGCCCTATCCACCAGCTAGAGGAGGCAGCAGTGGGAGCTGTCACTATCCTGCCCAAAAGAGCAACCATCGCCGGTAGGTTGTGCCTGCAGAAACAACGTGCCTCAGATTGACTTTTAGTGAAGAGAAAAAGCTGCTTGCTGTCTGTTTTTTCTGTCATCTGTACATTCTGTAGAATTACTCTGTAACCTAGCACCGAAAGAGGAATATTATTGGCCACTTTTGCTGTCTGTTGTCTATCTCCTACATTCTGTAGAAGTAGTGGAAGGATAATTGTGGAAGAATATTGAACGGTACAATTACTTGATATATGCAGTATATTGCGAGATGTATTTGCAAAATATATTGCTAGATATGATGCAATATAGAGATACACGTTTTTACCAAAA